TTTGTTTTGTTTGTTTTTAGGATAGGATTTCACTGTGTAGTTCTGGCTGACCAGAACTCACCTTGTAGAACAAGCTGGCCTCAGTCTCCCAGAGATCTACTTGCCTCTGCCTTCCCAAGTGCTAGGATTAAAGGTATGTGCCACCATGTCTGGCAAAAAAAAAAAAAAGTTATTTTTGATGAGAGCATTGTGATTCTTCTCCAGTTTTAAAAGGTTTGGTTTAACACTTGGCTCTAGAGATTTTTGAAAAACTTTTTTGTTAGGTTTATTTGGATACTTGACTTTAATGACTAGTATAGCTCAGAGCTCAAAGATACATAAATTTAGGTGGAAGAAGTGCACTGTAGGCTGCGATGACTACATCCTGGCTTATCTATCAAATGTGCTTTAAGTTTTGGTTGAAGTCCTAGTAAAATTTCTGTCTTCTAGTTTTATTTAGTTCTTGAAAAGTAATACTCAGGTTATCCTATGCTGTTGGTCATCATTCACTCCTCCAAGTGCATTCTCCACCCTTGTATACTCTGCTCTGTGCCCCAGGAGGCCGATTTCTAAGGATTGCATCAACTGGTCTGCCTTGTCCCCTGACTTCTGAGTGGGTTCAGCCAATGGAAGGCACTGGCAGGAGGACCAAGAGGTAGGAGTATTTGTTTTAACATCTTCCTCTCTCTTGGCCTTCAGGTCACCAGTAACTGTGCTCAGTCACTGTATGATTCTCTTCTGCAGTTACAGCTGTCTTGGTCTAGTAACTATTCCCTTCTCTTGCTTTCAGGCTCAGAGTGGTCATGGCTCTGTGTTATGGTTAATACAGGAATACTTCATCATCTCTTCCTAATTTCTCTTTGCCTTGCCTTCACATTTATAAAAAGTCCCTTTATTAAATATCACCTCCTTTTATATGTTATCCCTTTCTTGCTAGGACCTTGGAGGTTATAGTGTTATAGTTGCATTTTAGAATTTAAAACAAGTGGGTTAACAAAGTGAAACTCTTCATTTAAAATGTTAAACAGATTAGATAATTTCATTTCCAGCTTTTAATTGTGCAGACGTCAGTTGTGGTATGTTTGCGTGTGTGTTGGGGATTGAACCTAGGGCCTGTGCATACTAAACATGCTCTCTACAACTGAGCTGTACCTCCATACAAATACAACTACTATTAATGACATGTTTACATTGCTTTTGATAACCACAACAGAAACATACTTAAAACCTCTTCAAACATCTGGGTTTTTTTTGAAGATTTAATTTTTATTATTTTTTAATTATTTAATAACCACATACTTAGAAGAAGCATTTCATTACAATAGCATTGACATATTCAGTCACAATTTTCAGATGTAAGGTGCATCTCTTTCAAAATTGGCTGTAAATTTTTAGGTTTACAGTTGAATTATTACAGTTATACAATATTGTACTCAGTATAAACCCTATAAAACATAACATTAAATGAGGTTTTAACCTTTAAAAAAGATCTCCATTTCATTATTAAAATACAGTTTTATACAGAACAATTCATTTTTAATGCAATTGACATTAAGATTCAAGCATCTGTTTTTAATAGGTGACAGTATCTCTTTGTGTTAATTATAAATAAATGCAAGTATATTCTTTGTCAATTACTTTATGTTAATTTTAAGTATCAGTTACCTAATGCCAATTTGCTTCTTGTTAATGCTTGCTTCAATAATTTTAGGTAGAATTGAGGAGTCTCTGAATTCTGAAATTTAGAATGTATTTACATGTTTTATGTTTTTTGTTTGTTTGTTTGTTTCAATCTTTTTGAGTTAGGGTCTCCCTGTAGCCCCAGCTGGCCTAGAACTAGCTATGTAAACCAGTCTGGCCTTGAATTCACAGAGATACACCTGCCTCTGCCTTGCAAGTGCTGGCATTAAAGGAGTATGCCACCACTCCCAGCCCTATGTTTTATGCTTTTTAAAATAAAGTAAAAAAAATAAACTCAGTCAATTATAATTATTGCTAAGGTTTTGCATATGGTTGGCAATTATAATTATTTTCAAGCTATATCATATTGATTTCATAAAATAATTTTCCTCATAGGAAGAAAAGAGCTTGAGTTTTAGAAGGGAAGAATTATTTTAGTGTATTTATGTAGTCATTGATTATTTGATAATTTCTGTTTGGAGGTGAGGTAAAATTTATTTTTTAAATCTTTATTGCATTTATTGTTCTCAGGAATAAAAATCAAGTAGCTGGTAACAAATGTTTAATCAGTATTCTTTTGCTGTGGAAGAATATGTAGATGGAATTTTAAAACTTTAAATATGTATGTAAATTGAAAATGAGAAGTGTTTGACTTGTATCCTTCCAAATAACACACACACACACACACACACACACACACACACACACACACACATGCTACAGTTTGGAGGTCTGAAAGTATGGATCATAAGGGGAAAAAGTCTCTTATGTTTCTAGACCTTTTATTCTGGTTGGAGATAGATAACTATCAAATAAATAGCTAATTAACACAATGTGATAAGTAACATAAAAACAAACACATATAAGAGTGTAAAGTGATAGGGGAGCTTTTATTATCATGATAAGAGAACGTCAGATTTGGGGGCATTTAAAACCTGGATAAAGTGTTAGACCTCATTCTCCGAGGAAGAGTGTCTTACAGGAGAAGAGTGTCTTACAGGGGAAGAATGGACTGCAGCAGTGTCAGGGAAGTAGGTCTGTTGGTGTGACTTGTGAATAGAAAGGAAACTTCAGCTTGAATGCAAAGAGCCAAGGCTTCTTTAGAAAGGCAGAAAATGAGGTTTAGAGGAGATGAAGGCCATACTGTAGTAGGTCTTACAGGTTGTAAGAACTTTGCATGTGTTCAAGTATAACTGGAAGATTTTGGAGCAGATAAGTCCAAAGGTAATAGCATACTCTAAGGAATTTTTTGAAAGTATTACATGGACTGCAATATTAATAGGGAGAGAAGAGTAAAAGGAAGGAGACCTGTCATGATGCAGTTGCAGTAGTGTAGGTAAGAGTTTGGACCACTGTGTACACAAGTACACACACTTTTAGTTGCTGTTTATATTTGTGATCCTCTTAGGTTAAAATATATTTTGTTCAAAAACTTTTACATTTAGAGGTATAATGACTTTTTGCAGAGAGTACATAGACATATATCTGATGCTTTTTAATGAGTAGATTATGTTCCATGGTACATTCATTCATGTAATCTGGTCCGGTGAGATGACTCAGCAGGTAAAGATGCTTGTCACCAAGTTCGACAACCTGAATTCGATCCCTGGAACCCACATGGTGTAAAGAGAGAGCCAACTTTGGGAAGTTGTCCTCTGACCTTCACACATGACACCCCCCCCTTCCCCTGCATGCATGTGTGTGTACATGTACATAATACATAATTGTAAAAACAATTTTTGAGGTAGGAGAGGACAGTTCTATTTTTAAAATTTTTTAATTTTTATTTTATGTGTATGAGTGTTTTACCTGCATGTTTATGAGTGTACCTGTGCCATGCAGTACCCACAGAGGATCCTCTGGAACTGGAGTTACAGACAGTTATTAGGTGACATGTGGGTCCTGGGACCCAAATCTGAGTCCTCTGCAAGAGCAGCCAGTGCTTTTAACCACTGAGCCATCTCTCCAGCCCCATTGGCGTATTTTAAAATGTAGAAAAGCAGGTATTTTCCTGTAAGTTTTTCACAGTTACCGTTCATTTAATAGATACAGACTTAGAAATCAGTAATTGGACTAGCCTTTAAAACTTTGCAAGGCTAATGTAATGTTTCTTTTTCCAGTGTTAGTTTATTTTCTTTGTTTGACAGTGCTGAATATCATACCTAGGGTCCTGTGTTTGCTAATAAGCAAGTGCTCTACCACAGAGCTACTTCTTAGCCCTAGTATAAATGATTTTATGATGTAATTTCAAATTCATTAAGATGACTTATGAACAATTAAGCAAACTCTGAGGTAGTTTTTAATCATTTTTAAGTATTAGACTAGTGTCTCAGTATATTAATAAAAATATCATAAGGAGACACGTGTTGAGATTGAAGAGGAATTCTAGAGCCCTAGGTTCTTTTTGCAGTTTAGAAAAAGGGTAGATTTCATTACATTGTTCATTCGTGTGTGTGTGTGTGCTTTTTTTTTTTTTTAAGTCTTTTTGAGATAGGGTCTCTCTGTAGCCCAGCTGGCCTGGTACTTGCTATGTAGAACAAGTTGGCCTCAAACTCAACAGAGATCTACCTGCCTGTGCCTCCCAAGTGCTGGTATTAAAGGCGTGTGCCACCACGCCCTGCTATATATATAAATTTTTGCAACAAGGTCTCCCTGTAACCCCAGCTGGCCTGGAACTCAGAGATTCACCTACTCCTAGGGCCTCTGAGGTCCTGAGATTAAATGTATGTGCCACCCCGCCCAGCTCATTCATGTTTTTGATACTGTCTCCCATTAGTATTGATTTAAAAGAGTAAAGTTACAGAGCTAGTTAGATCACCCAGTAAGAGCACATTAAAATGAACTCAGATGTGTCCATTAATCAAGATGTGTTATGCCACACAGCTGTTTTCCTTAGAACTTCAATTCCATACTCTCAACCCATATAGTCAACATATAATTGCTATATATTGTAATGCTGAATTTATTTATAATTTCCACAGAGTGTTTGTATGTTACAAATATACTTTCCCAACTGTTCTACACTTTTCATACATCAATAGTTTGAAATATATTGTAAACAAAAAGTGTTTTCTATTAGAGTGTGTTGGTCCTTAGTTTTAATGTTTCAGGCTTGTATTTTTTAAATGTAGAGGAGGGGCTGTCCCTCGGCCTGATTTTGTGATTAAAAAAAAAAAAAGTAAATAGTATAGGGAAGATAAAACTCTGAAACATGGCAAAGAAGAAAACTTAAAACATTTAGTATATAGTCAGCAAAGGGGATTCTTCTTAAGTTACTGGTGAAGGGTCATGTTGCTTATCCAGAAGATTTGACCTTGTCAATTGACTTATTCTTCTCCAAGGCACTTGAGAGAAAAGACCACGATAGCAGTTACATCTAGAGGCTATTATGGATTGGAGGAAGAGAAGGGAACTGCATGTGCTTCCACAAGGCGTCGGTCAACACCTCGAAGTTTGGCAGGCTTGACAAGTGGAGTTTTTGAATCTATAATGGTTCAAGTTTTGAGACAGGAAGAACAGCTGAGAGCAAAAGAAGAAAAAAGGTAAATGTTAAAATGTTAAAAGAAATTAAGTTTCATGATGTTCAGATTTGTAGGCATTAAATTTTCAGAGTAGCTACATTTATATGCCAAAGTCAAAATTTTAGTCCCATTTTAGTAGTATTCTAAAATATGTTGTCACCAGATTATGAATTATTAATGAATCACAGTGGAATTTGTTTTAAAGTTAATTTTAAAATTTAAAACAAATTAGGCCAGGCATGGTGGCGCATGCCTTTAATCCCAGCACTTGGGAGGCAGAGGCAGGTGGATCTCTGTGAGTTCAAGGCCAGCCTGGTCTACATAGTGAGTTCCAGGACAGCTGGGGCTACAGGGAGACCCTGTCTCAAAAAGACCAAAAAAAAAAAAAAAAAAAAAAAAAAAAAAATTAAAACAAATTACCTTGACAGTGTTAAAAATAATTTTTATAAAAGATTTTGGAATTCTTTTTAGATTTCTAGAAATATTCTCAAGGAAGTTTTAAATTGTATCAGTTTTATACAAACTTGTAACTTTAGAATAAAGTTACATACTTTTTTTGTTTTGTCTTTTTGAGACAGGGTCTCCCAGTAGCCCCAGCTGGCCTGGAACTCGCTATGTAGTCGAAGCTGGCCTCTACTCTAACTCACAAAAGATCGGCCTCTGCCTCCCAAGTGCTAGGATTAAAGGCAAGCGCCACCATGCCCGGCTTAGAATTACACACTTTAAAATTAGGACTAACTTCAGAAATTATACAGTTCAAGAATGACATAAATTCCCCTGTATTCACCCTGCCAGTTACTCTGTTGAAATTAACTTCCTGGATAACTGCTTATTTTGGACTTAACAGGAAAGAGTCTTGTATTCATTTAGCAGTGTCTTCTTGTGCCTGGGAGCATAGAGTGATGACTTTATTTAACATTTATTTGGAACAAAAAGGAATTAGTGCTCTGAGATGGAAGTGAGATTCAAATTTCTACTATTGGCTGGTGATTTTATACCAAATCAAATATCAAACTATGTCAGGAATGATTGTTGATATAAGAATTTGCTCATTCTAGTCAACTTATGCTTCTTACATTTTTGACAACTTAAAATATTTTGTTGTTCTTATAGTAATGTAGTTGCTTTGATATCTATAGGACTAAAACTCAGCCATGGCATTTTGTATAGTCATACTTTTTATAGCAGTGATTAGAAGCCACTGTGAAACACATTTTTTTCTTTGTTTAGAGCCCCAGGAAGTTCTCCTGCTATAGGAAAGGAGAGCTAATAGAAAGGATTAAAATTAACCTGACAATAGTACACAATAGACTGGAATGGGAGGAACTAGAAGGCTATAAGAAGACACCTCCATTACTACTGCATTACTAGTTAGAGAGAAATCAGATTGTTTGAGGAAGAGGTACTAGGACTTGGTATCTTCCTTAATATAGGTAGAAGAAGGGAAGAGTCCAAAGTGGAGCACAGCTGGCATAGTGGCGCACACGTTTACGCCCAGTACTTGGAAGGCAGTGGCAGGCAGATCTCTGTGAGTTCAAGGCTAGCATGGCCTACATAGTAAGTTTCAAGCCAATGAGGGCTACATAGTGACTTTGTCACACACACACACATGGGGTCGAGGAGCAGCACAAAATAATACTAATAGTAGTAGTAGTAGAAGAAAAGAAGAAAAAATATTTAATTTTAAAGTGGTATTTATTCAGCATGATTTTTTATCAGATTTAGCTCTGGATACATTTCTTTGACTTATAGTCTGAGTCACAGAGAGATAAAGCAGTTTTCCCAAAGTCATAGTGTTTGAGTGGTGAGATCAGTACTTGAGCCCTGGCGTGCACACACTCTCGTTCTCTCTCTCTCTCCCTCCCTCCCGTCTGTCTGTCTGTCTGTCTTGCTATGTATATGTATTCCAGACTGTCCTCAAATTCAAAGCAATCCTCCTTCCTCAGCCTCCTGAGTGCTAGGATTACAGACATGCACCACCATACTCGGTTCCCATATGCTTTATTTAGTTGTTAGAATTCTTTATACATTCTAGATACAAGTCCTTTTTCAGGTAAGTATGCCTTCTAAATGCTTCTTCCAGGCCCCTTCTTGCCTTTATGCTTTTAGTGTTTCTCTAAAAGGAAAAGTTTTTGCCTTTGAAGTTCAGTTTATCAATTTTTACAAAATATTTTCTGCTTTGGGGGCTGGAGATAGGCTCAGTGATTAAGAGCTCTGGCTGCTCGTGCAGAGGACCTAGGTTCAGTTCCCAGCACCCGCATGGTAGCCAACAACTTTCTAAAACTCAGTTCCAGGGGATCTAACTTCCTCTTCTGGCCTCCACAGGCATTGTACACATGTGGTGCACTTAATACATGCAGGCAGAGCACTCATACACCTAAAATAAAAATAAATTTAAAAGAAGAGGAAAAATATCTTCTGCTTTATGTAAGAAACTAACTTAATTGGGGTTATGAAATTTTTTTCCTCAAATTTCTAAGTTTCAGTTTTTATGGCTATATTCATTACCTATTTGAAGTTAATTTTTGTGTGTATAGTATGAGACAAGGGAAAAACTATTTATAGTCCAAATAGATACAAGTATGTTTGTATATTCATGTGTCTTCATTCTGCTTTTTATTTCATATGGTCATAGCAGGTATTAATGTTTTATGGTATATTGTCAAATGATGTGGCCTAAAACTTTTAAATATTACAAAATATTTAATAAATTTTAACAATATAAATGTCTTTACTATGAATCCTTTGATTAAAGAGTAAATGTGTCTATATTCCTTCTTGACAAAACATGGATCTTTGAAATTCTTTTTTTCTTAACTTCAATCAATGATAGATGCCATCATTGCATTTTAATTCTCTTTGGTTCTTAACTGTCTAGGTGTTGCTGTGTCTCAAGTTTTTGTGCGAGGGCCTCTCCTTTTCTCAGGCTACACTTCATTTGTAAATAATCCTATCCATATTTATGTGCAGAAGAATCATAGTTAAGTCTTTTGTACAAGTTTCTCCTTTTAAGTTTCAGATATAAGTGCCTTCTTCATGCTTTCTTTAGATGATCTGTCAGTATCAGCATCACTGTCTCTCATCTGTCAGGAATCCCATGGCACATTTAGATTAGAATAATTTATGGAAAGTTTATTTCCAAAGAGGTTGGAATTAGCAGAACCTTAAGAAGTAAGCCTATAAGCAGTGCAAGTAGCGGGAGTAGTTTCTGGTACCCTGGAGGGAGTATAAAATGATTGTTTTAAAAGAATGATACCTCCCATTGAAGGATTCAACTCAAGCTAGGGAGAAAGTCAAAGGAATAAATATTCTCTTCTCCCTTCCCTCTGATCAACTCCCAGAGGTCACCTCCATTGACTGAATTCAAGGGAAGCTAGAGGATAAGTTTGCTTGTTGATACAGATAATCTGTACAGTGAAGGGTAGAGTAGATGTGAAGGTAAACAAAAGATATTTGGTTCAGTATCATCAAACTGATCACATGTAAAATAAGATGAATGCAAGAGCTTCCCTTTTAAGTACTATAGGGCTTCTTCTGGTGAATGGCACTACCATCTGTTGACTCATGCAAGTTAGAAATCTGATATTTGTCCTTGAAATATTTCTCATTTTTATATGCATACATGTCAAATTCACCACCAAATTCTGAGTTTATTTCCTAAATGTCTCTTGCATATGGCACACTTCTGTCTTCTCTGCCTCCATCCAGTTCTTTTATCCCTCACTTAAACTATTTTGATTGTCTTTTAATTGATTTAACAGTATCCATACTCACCTCACTCCAATCTGTTTTTCACATTAAAACTTGAATGAAGGCTGGGGATGTAACTCAGTTGGTACAATGCTTGCCTAACAATGAAGGAAGTCCTGGGTTTGATCCCCAGCACCACTAAGCATGGTAGTGCATGTCTGTAATCCTAGCACTGAGGAGATAGAGGCAGGAGCATTGGGAGTTCAGGGTCATTCTCTACTACATAGCAAGTTTGAGGCCAGCCTGGGCTAAATGATACCCTATCTTAAGAAAGGTGCAGAGGAACCTAGAGTAAACTTTTTTCCAGATACAAATGTGATTGTACTACTTGTGTATTCCATTATCTACCACCTCCCTCAACAAAGCAAGCATACACAGAATCTTTAAATGCTTTAATGTAATGTGTAAGGCCCTACTTTCACCCTTTGGCCTCTCCCTGTTTCTCTTACTTCGCTTTTATCATTTTCTACTTCATTTTTTTGACTTTGACCATCCTTCCCTATGTTCAGTGCCAAAAGAGTATCATAGACTTTACTTGCATTCAGATTTAGAGTTCACATAAATATATATAAAATGATAGTGGGATATTTATGTGTCTTATAGTATAGTAAAAAGTATTTTTATTATATATATATGAGTGTATTGCCTGCATATGTGCAAGTGCATCTGTGTCTTGCAATGCCCATGGAATTCAGAAGAGGGTATTATATCCTCTGGAACTGGAGTTAAAATGGTTGTTAGCCGCCAGGTGGGTGCTAGGAACTGAACCCGGGTCCTCTGTAGCCAGTGCTCTTAACCATTGAATCATCTCTCCAGCCCCCAATCTGTCAATTCTTAAGAGCAAATGATTACTATGCTGTACTTAAACTCTGTGTGTAGTTTTTTCACTAAAGCCTCTGGAATAAGAAGTGAGAAAATTCCATTTTGTTAAGTAGATTAAAGGTAAGAACACCTGTAATATCAGAAACTTAAGATTAAGCCAGACATGGTGGGACATACCTGTAATCTCAGCACTTGGGTGTCAGAAGCAGAATTGCAAGTTCAAGGCCAGCTTGATCTACATAGAAAGACACTGTCTCAAAAATGAAAAAAGAGCCAGGCAAGGTGGTGTACACCTTTAATCCCAGCATTTGGGAGACAGAGGCAAGCAGATCTCTGTGAGATTAGTTCCTGCCTAGTGGTCTACAAAGAGAGTTCGAGACCAGCTGGGACTTCAGGGAGACCCTGTCTCAAAAAGACCAAAGAGCAAAAAAAAAGGAAAACAAAATTTA